TTCTATAACTCATATATGGATAGCTTCATATCACTTCTCAAAGCCCTCCCCAATCGCGGTTTGCGTTTGTGTCCCTCCCAGTCTCTCGCCCTGGCCTTCGTCACCAACGTATGCTTCTCCTGCTGCAATAACCTGCCGTAACTCTCCCATCCGCTTCTCAAATTGTTCCATCATCTCTTCCAAACGATGTTGATGATGTTGGTCCCGTTGGTAGCGATGAGTCGACGAGTTAAACCTGGCAACGGACGTGCCTTCAATCTCAAGCATGAGGCCGCCAACTGGCGACGAGGAGCGGTTGTTTGCTGACGCTGAAGCGGCGGTGGGGCTGTTCGTAGACGAATCGAATGTGCGCGCTGTGCAAAGGCGGGTGTTGAGGATTTGCCAGGATGGGCTTAGACTATGGGCGGAAGCTAAGGTAAAGGGGAATTGCGGTTGTGCAGCGTCCGTGGCAGGTGGGGATGTTGCAACGTTGTGTTCTAGACCTTCTGTAGAATTGGCCGGATCTCTTGTATTGACATTTGAGGACTCCGCCGGACGGTTCCCAACAGCGTCGTACTGAGAAGGTTGTATATCGACGACTATGTAGTGTTCTTGCATACCATTTATTGGGGGAGGCAGCGAAGAAACTCTAGCGTACGCCCTTGCTTCCTCATTTCCTCCTGCTTCTCTTAGATGGGTATTGCCCGAGGCTTGTAAAGAGTTATTTCCCTGGCCGGCTTCCAGAGTCCGCAGAGCAGCCTCTGTTATTAGGTCCGTGTCATCATCCGAGAAGACATAGTGCACAGTGGGGTGATGGTATTCGGACGAGTGAGCGTCTTGTATAACAGTGAAGAACGGACGGAATGGTGACGGATGAGAAACTGAGGTGCGAAGGTCTTCCTGAAGGGGCCCCTCGCCATCCTCCTTAGCTGGTTGCCTGAGTGGTGTATTATCTTCCAAATGCGCTGTTTGTGGCCCAGTGGATGGTTCTGGTATAGGTGGTGGAAGATAATCGGGGTGGTTGGGGGAGGTCATTCTGAAGCTGGCTTCATACTACATGGTTATGAGAAAAGCCGTTCTGAAGGAAACGTTCCAGTATAGTAAAATTTTTTCGGACTCGAAGTTTGACGAACGTTGAAATTTCCAATGGAGAGTGCTGTGGTTATCAAGGCGAAAGAAGAGTCAGGTGATCCAGTGTCATAGGACTGTACAATATTTTTCAAGGCAGGTAGAATAATTCAACAACCACAAATAGTCGAAAGTAATAGATGTCATTCTTTTTAGAACAGGCCATTATCATGTTTTCATTAATTTAAGCAAAATAATGTGTGGTTGCATCGACCATTTTGAATTGAAATGTATGGCTTGATTGTTGCGAATTTTGACCAATGACGGTATGTATTTAGTAAGGCCTTGACGGAGGTCTATTTTTAGGGTTCATGCTTGAGGAAAATCAAATGAAAAAGGAATGAAATAAAAATCCGATATTACTACGATATCTTAGAAATTGATACCGCGCCCACGTTCCCAAGTGATACATAACACCAGTAATTGTAGGCCTACACATTGCTTGCGCCAATGCTTTGCATCGATGAGAATACGGTACTGTTTCTCCTGAAGCCCAGGTATTTCCATGTTCCAAACGCCTGACAAGGATTCCATGGGTTTCACTCATCGCCTTGCTTCCAGTCAAATTCTAAATGATATGGATGTGTCAGCATAGAGACAATAAGTGGGCTGGGAACTTATCGCCAGGGGCCGCTTACTTTGCCGGCACATGGGACATAGACCTTTTGAAGACTCCTGGCCAATCCACGTCAGGAGACAATGCTAGGAAAGGGGGATAATTAGTTTTCCTTGGGCACTAAGCTGTAGAGAGAGGAAATCGTA